CCTACCTGCGCTGCTGCACACGCCTCTCCGCGATGTCCCGGCTGCCTGCTGCCAGCAGGGTCGGGGTACAACACAGGTGCCTCTGAGACGCGTCCGAGAGCTGCGCCAGCAGCACCCAGAGCACGTTCCAGCTCCAAAGCTCGCCCTGTCCACGCTCCAGTCCTCGCACACACGCTCGGTCGGAGGCCAGGCACGAACTGCTGGGCCGGGCTGCCGCGCCCGCGTTAAAGCAGCGTGGGCCAAGCAGTCACAATGCATCGCTTGGAGACATCACAAACCACGGCTTGGCCGTGTTGCCTGTCATCACCTGAAGGCTTATTATTCTAAAAAATTTTTGCTTTCATCTGTTTTGTGGAATAGATGATCTTAGAGGTCTTTTCTAGCCTTAATGATTCTATGATTTATGCTACCTGCCTGCAAAATTGCTGTTGAGTGAATCTTTCAATTCAATGGAACATAAGGTCATGCTGCTATCCCCATTGCTGACAGCATTCCTTCATTGATGCATTTAGTATTTTCTATTCGATCTTAAGTGGTCTGGTCTGCTGAAAAGCCAGCCACTGCAGAAGCAGCATAGGGCTGCTAATTAGCTTGAGCAGGGTAGCGAAAAGGGACCGTCTTTGACTGGAATAGAGAAATAGAATTACTAATAGGTTTTCATTACTGAGATGCTGAGCCACCGAGGCAACTGTCTGCACTTGTCCAAGTGCTGTGAAATTAACTGATCACCAGTGAATAGGATGTGTGTGTCTTGCCTGAATACGGTCACCTACACAAAAACCCCGGGCAGTCCCAGCTGGTTTTGTTCAGTAACTGCACAGGGTTTGCTTGCTACATACCCCATACACTTCCAGTACCAGGCCTACAGCGGTTGCCTGATGCATGTCAGGGGTTGCTATCCTGATCCTGCTTAGTTTGTGAAATGTGATGAAATTAAAGCCGAACATGCTTCACATGTAACTTCTGGTCTGTTGGTGTTCAGCTGATGTTGCCGCGCATCACTGAGTGGACGAGGTGGCTCCGCTGACCTCCTGACTGAAGCGCCAGAAGGTTTATTACAGGTGCACTTGCTACAGCTTTTCACTGCATTGAATAATGTGGGATTGTTTCTCATTTCTCCTATGTTCACTGGATGGTCGCTGGTGCCTCGTGTTCAATTTGGAGTTTTTCATTGGGCAGTTTTTACGTACGAAATTCAGATTCCTCATATTAAGCTGTTGTCCGTTTTAAAAATGCATGGAATTCAAGCCAAAGATCATAATATAACTGAAACGTTTCAAAAATTAAGGAGATCACTACCAGCTGTGTGCTGTTACTGGGTTTGAGTTTGATTCTTTACTCTTCCTCTGATAAGTTCCTGCTTATGTCACAGACGGGATCTGCTTTTGTGAGTTTGTCTGTGCACTTTCTAGGCACATCGAAGGAGATGAGCTGAGACAAAACTGCGGTTTATATTCATGTTCTTTCAGCCAACATAGAATTTAATTCTTAAGAAACAGAGAGCGGCAGTACAGAAATCGGAATCCTTTTCTTTGTTACATCATCATATGTGTAATGTTTCCTTATCAGTTTTACATCAGTTTCTCTGTGGTCAGATGTGCGTTGTGTAACGTTGTCATCATCTTCACTGCCATCGAATTGTGCCTTGTAAAGCATTCAGTGAACTAAGTGGGGGGAGGAGGACGGGGTGAGGGAGCATGAAAGGAGGAAACATACATACTCACATGGAAGAAAAGTAAGGTGATGTCAGTATGAAAGATGCTTTACGTTGCTGAAATTTTGCTCGTACTTGTTGCTATTTTTTCAGTCTCAGTAACAGCCTAAATTGCACTGGCTGTATGCTGATACTGCACACTTGTTCTGCTCACTGGTGTGGAAAATCACATTCTTCTTTTCATTCATGGCTTTTTACTTTTATCATTTCAGTGCTGCCCTTACAGTGGTATCTCAAATTTAAGCCAGATGATAAACTAGATGGTACATGGATGTATTTGAAGTTAGGCAATGCAGTAGGCATGCGGCTCCGTGAAATGAAGGATTCCTGGTTTCCTGTTGGCAAGCCAAGATGTCATGCAGTTCAGCTTGTGAGTGTCTATATTAGAAGTACTGAGAGATTTTGAATTGGCTGGCTTACAGATGAGTGTTTAATGTGGGCTTCCTTTTGGTCTTCTATGTTGAACAACGCTGGAAAATTGTTCCCTTTTTGGGACATCCATCTGATTTCCTTGCTGAAAAGAGAGTTGCTAGGATAGAGTCCTTCTTCAGAAACAACACTGTAAGGCAGAGAAGCATGCGTATGGTAGTGTATTGGTTGCTCCGAAAATAATGCCTCTTATTTATTTCCATGAAAACTGCCACAGGTACAAAAAACACAAGAACATTATTTAATAGAGCAAATTCTCAGCTACAAAACACTGTTTTTCAAGTCACCACTCTTAACTATGTGTTTTTGCCAGCAATGTGCGAGAGCCTGTGTGCCACACTTGTAAAAACCTGCACAGACTGTTAAAATTTGAGGTTTTAATTCCTCAGAAAAACTACTGTGGTTCAGTTATTCTGAGTGGTAGATGCTTTTCTTAAGTTCTGAGTGTGTTGGGTTAGAGATCACGGAATCGGGAAGCATTGTGTTATTTCAAATCATTAACTCTCATCAGTGCACTGTGCCAACAGCTTGCTTGTATGTGACCCTTGATTTCCAAGTAATTTGATACATGTGATACTTGACCGTCTTGCTTCATTTTTCTGTTTCCTCATTCAAACACAAAGAGGGTGTTTAAAACTCCTTGAAGAAGGTACAGTTATTCTGGAGTGTTGGCTTGAACCCCGTTGCCTCTCGACAGATTGCATAAAGAACTGACTTGCCTAGCATGATGCACAGTGAGAGAGGAGAATGAGGTGGGCTAATGCCACGAGATCTTCTTGTTGCAGATTACCTGTGTATATAGAGGAAAAAGCTCTAAGTACTCTTGCCTACCTTTGTGATGGTGATGCGAGGACTGGATTGAATGGACTTCAGTTAGCAGTACAGGCCCGACTGGCAGCAGGGAAGACCACTGTGCTGAGCTTTACCAAAGGTTGTTCTGTGGATGGAGTTCTGATAACGGAAGAACATGTGAAGGAAGGTCTGCAGCGATCGCACATCCTCTATGACCGAGCAGGTGAGTACCTGACACAGTTTCTGCGATATAGCATGTGGAAGAGCCTCCATAATTCCCGCTACTTCTCCCCCTTGCGTAGCAGTTGCTCCGATGAAGCAGCAGATACAATTAGATCTGGCCTAAAAACTGCTTTTTCTTCACGCTGGAGAAGGCTCAGTCGGAATTTCCTCCTTGTTTGTTCTCTCTGCTTTGGAAGCGTAGGTGGGTTGAGAGACATAGTTGCAGCCCTGCCAACAGCTGCGTAGTAAAATGTTTTGGTTTTTTAAGGTTATTGGGATATTGAGGTCAAAGAGGATTGCAAGACAAAAAAGTAGTATTTTGGTTAGGAGGCTTGTTCTTGGGGTGGCTGGTAAACTTCCATTGATTTCTTTATTTCATTGAAAATCTTGGTAGTGGTCATGTTCACAACCATGTTATTCAAAAACCTGAGTGGCTTGCTTTGTTTTGTGACTAGATTTTTAAGGTAATGAATTTTGGAACTTGCTTAGGACAGGTCACTTAAATCTAACGCATTCAAGGCTTCCTGATATGCTAAGCACTCTTGCTAATCTTGTGACTTGATATTGCAAAGGTTGGCCACATACCTTTTTGTGCGAGAGGGTTGAAAGACAGTGACTGAATGTTAGAAATCGCACAGATCCCCTTAAATGCCCGTGCAAGTTCGTCAGCAGTACTTAAATTCCTCTGTGTAGTATCATACAGTCATGCCAGGTAGCATTTTTACGCTGTGCTGATGCTGCTCAATTAACTGTTCCTATTGAAAAGTTGCAATGAGAGATTTCAAAAGGTTGTTGCAATGTATGTGTCTGCTCTTAGCCTTGTTACAAAGAGGAAGTGATGGCTCATTGTCATGAAGTGCCAGCTGTGGAGATATCAGTATATTAGCAGCTGGCAAGTGACAGATAGGCAGCGGGGAGGGAGAAGAAAAATATTATGGAGTATGTGTGGGAAAGAAGTCGCGATTAGGGAGGAGAAGAAAGAAGAAGATCTGACCAGTTCACTGGTACAGTTCTCATGTACTGAGTATGTAACTTTGTGTGTTTTTGCTGTTGGCTTGTGGCTGCTGTCACATAGAACCTTTGCTCCCAGCCATCCTCTGCGTACTTGATTTCTTAGAGGTGTCTCGGATTTTCTCTGCCTAACGATCACACGAAGGCTCATGTGCTCATGTCCACCTTTTCATCCACTGGGATCCCCAAGTCCTTCACTGTAGGGCTGCTCTCAATGAGTTCTCCCCCTCAATTTGTATAAATAACTGAGATTGTCCCGGCCCAAGGGTAGTACCTTGCACTTGGCCTTGTTGAACCTCATTAGGTTCACATGGGCCCACTTCTGCGGCCTGTCCAGGTCCCTCTGGATGACTTCCCTTCCCTCCAATGTACTGACCGCACCGCTCAGCTTGGTGTTGTCTGCAGACTTGGCTGAGGGTGCACTTGATGCCATCATCTGTGTCATTGATGAAGATGTTGAAGATCACCGGTCCCAAGGCTGACCCTTTAGGGACACTGCTTGCTATTGGCCTCCACCTTGACATGGAACCATTGATCACAATCCTTTGGCAGCGTCCAGCCAACTAGTTCCTAATCCATCAAACAGTCCATCCTTCAAATCAATACCTCTCCAATTTAGAGAGAAAGATGTGATAAGGGACCATGTCAAAGGCTTTGCAGAGGTCCAGAAGGATGGCATCTGTTGTTCTTCCCTTGTGCACCGATGCCATCACTCCATCATAGAAGGCCACCAGATTGGTCAGGCATGATCTGCCCTTGGTGAAGCAATGGTTAGGTAGGAGGAAAAAATCTTTTACAGTGAGGATGGTGAAGCACTCGCACAGGTTGCCCAGTTATATGGTTGATGGCCCATCCCTACATACTTTCAGGGCAATGCTGGATCAGGCCCTGGGTACCCTGATCTAGCTGTGCATGTGCCTGTTCACTGCAGTGGAGTTAGATTAGATGAATTTCAGAAGTCCCTTCCAACTTTAAGGATTCTTTATTTCATTTTGTGTGTTTGAGCTGCTCACTGTTTTCAAGGCCCTCCCTAAAAGGATGAACCCAACATCTCGTAGGGGATTTGTCAGGACTGTATGCTGTGATCTTATTTCCTCCAAACTATACACGATGTGCCATCGTGGTATACCTAAATGTCAATGGTTTCTGGACCAGTTTGGCCCATTTCCATGACTAATGGGGGTGGAGGGACACACAGACCAATGCCCTCCCTGGGAGAAAACAGAACAGTGGCAACAAGCTAAGGGAGGAAACTAATTTACCAAACATAATAGCAAAGTGTGAAATAACACGGTATTATACAATAGGATGGGAATTGAAGCTAATAAATTACATAAAATGAGATGGAGTGTCCCAGACCCTAATGCTGATGGTAAGATGCCTAGGGAGCACACACTGCAGAGATGAACGGTAAGAGAAAGGGGCTGTTTTGTGACTTCAGGGCAGTTTTATTTTTCCCTCTACACGGAACAGTCCCATCTTCTGGGAGATGTAGTTCTTCTCTTCTGAGAAGCAGGTACCTGGAAATACCAACCGCCCATGGAACTGGAGCAGTAACTCTTTAACTCCCAGTGCACTACGTGATGTCATGATGTGGAATGCGAATAACAACAAATCATAAATCCTGGCACTACAGCAATGTTTTCCTTTTTTCCCATGTATAATTCAGAAACTCACATCTGTCTTTACCACATGCTTTGTTTTCAAGTTTTATTTCAAGCTTTATTTGACGTGAAATTTCTTTTTCTAAGATATCTCCTATGTATATAATTGCTTTTCTTTTATTCTTCTGCTGCCTTCTCAGTGCTCTGTGTTTAGATTCCAAAGCCATGTTTCATGGTTGATGTGTTCTCATACCTTAGTTTGTGTGAATTAGGAGATACAGATATAAGGTCATCTTCCCAACTTCTTTTCCTTTTTCTGAAGGAAAGGTCGTAGGGTGTCAGAAGCAAATTGTTTGCCTATAATGTTTAAGCAACAGAACAAACCACTCTTACCTTATCTACTGGTGCTGTTAACTGCTGGTGCTCAACATGTGAGAGCATGAAGGTGCTAAAAATACTGATGAACAGCATGATCTGCATTTGGAGAGAACTTGGTGAAGCAGGTTATGTTTACCTACTGTGATATAAGCAAATATGTTCTGTTCTCTTAAATGTATTTTGCTCCTTTTCCTCCAAATAGCTCTCTTTATCTCTGCTTCCCCATTGTGAATAGGAGAAGAACATTACAATTGCATCTCTGCCCTGCATAAGTCTATAAGAGGCTCAGATGAAAATGCCTCCCTCTACTGGCTTGCTCGAATGCTTGAAGGTGGCGAAGATCCACTCTACGTGGCAAGGAGGCTGGTGAGATTTGCAAGCGAAGATATAGGTACATACTTTCAGTATTTCTGGGTTGGGATACTGTGTTGGACTAAGATCTGCCCGTCTTCTCACCTTCAAAATTTAGTACTTGGGGGGGATAGGTGAAATAAATACCAAAACAAATACTGCACTCACAGCAGGTATGAAGTACTGAAATGGATCATGTCCAACAAAAAGTATATGCCAACAGAAGCCTACATTTGACCTCCTTGTGGTGACAGCTGCAGGAGGAACAAAGATTTTTGTGGTTAGGTTTTGACAGTGTATAAATACCTATACTTTCAAATCTAGCCATAACTGTAGGACACCTTGTGTCACAGAGAATGTGTGTGGCAGGGATGTCTGGGTTTTTTTGTTTGTTCCACTGTTGTAATTACTGTGGAAGCCAAAAGCCTACCATGACATGCAAACCTCATGATAGGTGGGTCAGTAGTTTTAAGGCATTTTGTTTATCCTAAGCAACAGAAGCAGCAACATTTTTAGTACATAAGTGATGAGTGAAGACTTAGTAGATCTGGGGAAGCTATGTCTGTACAGCAATAGTTCCCCGTTTCTTTTTCACAAAAAGGAAGTGGATCCTACACTACCTGCTGCTGCTCAGGCCGCCACTGTGTGGCAACAGATTCAGGCTTTCAAAAGGAAAAGGGAGAAGGTTATGGATGGAAAGCGTCTATCTCATGTGCTGCCATGTATTGAAGTGGGTGTTCCACCCCTTGCTAAGACAGCAGCTTTGAAGTGTGCATGGGTAGCCTTCCATGGCAGAGAAGAAGAAACATTGTGATTCTAGTAAACTGACTTTAACCTGCTTTCATGTAAACCCTTCTTATAGGGCTGGCAGATCCTTTGGCTTTAACACAAGCAGTTGCTGCTTATCAAGGTTGTCACTTCATTGGAATGCCAGAATGCGAGGTAAAGACTTTATTAGTTCACTGATCTAAGAGTAACTTTAATTGTAAGGCCTTGTCACGCTACACAAAACATCAGGATAACAGACACTAGAACTTAAAAGAAATCATTTAACATTTTCCCCTTCCTTGTTTCCAGGTCATTCTAGCACAGTGTGTAGTGTATTTTGCAAGAGCACCAAAATCTATAGAGGTGTACAGGGCATATAGCAATGTCAAAGAATGCTTGAGGATGCACACAGGACCTTTACCACCAGTTCCATTGCACCTGAGAAATGCCCCGACAAGGCTTATGAAGGACTTGGGCTATGGTAAAGGCTATAAGTATAACCCCATGTACAAGGAACCTGTGGAGCAGGACTATCTGCCAGAAGAGCTGAAAGGAACGGACTTCTTCAAGGAACGAAAAACGTGACAGCCCTGCTTTGTATACTTCTTGGTTTTATGATGCATACGTTTGTATTGGGATGAAGATTTCTCTGCTGATTGCAGCCCAATATTTCTGGAACTGAGAATACGAAGTCACTCGGCCCTTGAGATATTCTTGGTTTTTCTGCTGTCATTGCAAAGGAGTTTTGTAAACTACTGCAGTCAGGCAGTATGGAAATACAAAAGTAACCTTAATGTACTTCTGTCACCCACTGGTTCAAGAGAATTGGAGAAAAAAGTATCTTCCACTTTTGGCTCTTGTAGAGAAATAAGGAATATGATCATGCTGCTTGTCAAAATCTGTATCCAATTCAAACTTTTGGAATGTTGATTTTCCAGAAAAATAAAGAGACTGTGTTCTGCTCTCCCGCACTAAGGTGCAGGAAACAAAATATAATTACAATGTAGTTCTTCTTTTTATGATGTTTCAAATTTTCTCCAACAACATTTATTCAACTAATAAACTTGTAGAAAACAATGCTTTTGCATTTGTTTGAATACTTATGTCAGCAGTGTGGTTTTGTAAGTCTGAAGATCCTTTGACTTTATCATGTCTACTTTCTATGGCAAATGTAAATTATTTCTGGAACTAGGGTAGTCATGAAAATCCCTGAATTGGTTGGTTTTTTTTCTCTCAAAGTTGGAGAGGTGTGGATTTGAAAGATGGACTGTTCAGTGGATTAAGAATTGGTTGCCTGGTCACAGCCAGAGGGTGGTGATCAATGGTGTCAGGGTGGAGACTGGTCACAAGCAGTGTCCCTCAGGAGTCAGTCTTGGGACTGGTGATCTTCAGCATCTTCATCAGTGACATAGATGATGGCATCAAGTGCACCCTCAGCAAGTTTGCAGATGACACCAAGCTGAGCCGTGCAGTCAATACTTAAGGGGGAGAGGAAACCATCCAGAGGAATTAGACCGTCAGAAGTGGGCCCATGTGAACCTAATGAGGTTCAACAAGGCCAAGAGAAGGTGCTGCTCTTGGGCCAAGGCAATCTCCGCTACTTATACAAACTGGGGGGAAGAACTCATTGAGAGCAGCCCTACAGTGAAGGACGTGGGGGTCCTAGTGGATGAGAAGCTGGATGTGAGCCAGCAGTGTGTGCTTGCAGCCTGGAAGGCCAACTGTGTTCTGGGCTGCATTAGAAAAGGGGTGGCCAGCAGGGAGAGGGAGGTGATTGTTCCCCTCTACTCGGCTCTTATGAGGCTCCATCTGGAGTACTGCGTCCAGGCCTGGGACTCCCAGTACAACAAAGAGCTCTTGGAACAGGTCTAGAGGAGGGCCACTAAGATGATCAGAGGGCTGGAGCACCTCTCCTATGAAGAAGGATTGAGGGAACTGGGCTTGTTTAGCTTGGAGATCACTCTGGGGAGACCTCATTGTGGCCTTCCAGTATTTAAAGGGAGTGTATAAACAGGAGGGGGAATGGCTGTTTACATGGGTGGACAGTGTGATAGGACAAGGGGGAATGGTTTTAAATGGAGACACAGGAGTTTTAGGTTAGATATTAGGAGGAAGTTTTTAACATAGATGTGGTGACACACTGGAACAGGTTGCCCGAGGAGGTTGTGGATGCCCCATCCCTGGAGGCATTCAAGGCCAGGCTGGATGTGGCTCTGGGCAGCCTGGCAGGGGGGTTGAACCTGGATGATCTTTGTGGTCCTTTTCAACCCAGGCCGTTCCATGGTCCTATGGGTCCTATGATTTTGAAGTTGCATCACTTCTGATGCTTAGTGTAACATTTTGGCAAATGCTTTTGGAAAGGAAATTCCTTGTAGTAAAGCACCCTCATGTATTCTGAGCTGTGTTTTAGTGTGAACTTTGGATTGAAAAGCTGAGTCACGCAAATTGAATGCCTGCATTTGAATAATTTGTCTTTGTCCTCCTACTGAGAACATACGAGGAAATGTCACACCTGCGTGGCAGACTGGCTCCTCTCTGAGGGTGAAGACAAGCCCTGCTCCTCACAGCAAGCCCTGCTATCTTCCAGACTCAGCACCAATCTGAGCAACACCTGGGTGGTTGGGACAGGGACAGTTAGCACATGCCAGGGCTGAGGACGCGCAAGATGATCAAGGGCAGGTCTCCCCTGCACTGGGGAGCCTATCGCTGGGCCCAGCACTCCAGCTGCGGCCTCCTTCGAGCTGAGCAGAGGGGCAGGATCACCGCCCTTTGCACGCTGGCAGCACGCTGGCACCTCGTGCAGCCCAGCACAGCGCTCACCTTTGCGGGCAGCGCTCCTTGCTGGTTCCGAGTGTCCGGCAGGACTCCTGGGTCCTGTCCAGCTGGGTGGCCCCGGCGGTGCTGTGGCCAGGAGCTGTTCCACCCCAGTGCAGAAATTTGCCCTTCCCCCCACTAGTTTAACTGGTGGGATTATTGGAGCAACTTGTGCTCCATCTCCCAACTTATTGGGGCCCTCACGTGTTTTGTTAGCACTGCCATGAGTGCCGATTCATGGTGGTGGAAGTAAAGTTGCACTTCTACGCCCTCCCCAAGGACCGGAATATGGAGGAAACATCATGGGTAGGGACAGCAACGCCAACGGCCTTGTCAATAACACAGAGACTTTTCTTCTTCATTGTAACAGATGTTTATTTTGTCTGCAAGCAGCAGGCCGAGAGGTCGATGTTGTCCTCCCAGCCCGCCGGAGCCGCGCTCTGACGGCAGTGCGGTGCCGGCCTAGCGCCGCCGCCGGGGCCGCCTCTTGCGGGACGGGGTCGAGTCCTGGCGGCTGCTGCTGGCCTTCCTCTTCAGGGGGCGCCGGGGCCCCCCACGCGAGCGGTCCCTGCCCCGGGCGGAGGGGCCCGCTGCCGCCGCCTGCCCTGGCTCCTCCTGCGGCTCCTGCGCCAAGGGCGCGGTGGCGGTGCTGGGGTGCCCAGGTTCCCCAGTAGAGCCGCCGGGCGGCTCCTCGGTGCTGGGCACTGCGGGGCTGGTGGAGCGACCTGGGCCCGAGGCGAGAAGCTCCTGATGGGAGGTGCTGGTGATGGGGTTGGCTGCAGGGCTGTCCTCCCGTCCTCCAGCAGCGTGGCTGACCTGGTGGTCCAGCTCGTGGTGGATCGTGGGGCCGTACAGGGCTGCGGTGGTGCTGATGAGCCTTCTGACGAAGGGCACCACATCGCCATTGGTGATGAGCTGCAGCGCCTGCACCAAGGCCTCCTCGTCCAGCCCATGCTGACATAGAAAGT